TCTTTCTCAGGCTCCGTCCTTTGGCAACCTGGGTGGTGAGAGGCGGCAGCGGCGGGAGGCACCTGATCTCCGTGTTGCTCCTCTGCCCCCAATGTCCGAGGAAGCCAGGAGAGCCCCACCTGCAGAAGAGTGACCAACCCTCCCACCAACCAGCCTGGGCTGCTCTGAGCTGCCCACACATGTCCCCTGGAGGGACCCCTCAGCTCCCGCTGTCCAGGACTAAAGTCCCCCCGCAAGCTGCCTGCTGGGGCTAGAAAGCCTGCTGACATAAGTGAGCCTTTTCTCTCGGGACCGGGACCTCCAGGGTAGGGATCTGTTATTTCTCTTCCTGTTTTTTTTTTTCTTTCTTTTTCTTTTTCTCTCTCTTCCTGGAGTTCAGCAAACAGACTACATCACAAGCTCCCAGTAGACACTGATGGTGTTTTAGGATTTCAAGTGTCCTAGCCAGGCCACCTCCAGCGTCTGACAAGTAAAGATCCCACAGCCCTTTCCCCCAGGAAACTCAATGCCCACGGCACCACTTTTCTCTTGGCAATTTTATTGGTCCAGGGAAGGGGAGGCAGGCAGGCAGGCAGCCCCTGCCTCCTGCTGAGGGCGCCACAGGCCCTCACTGTTTCCCATTGCCATTGATGGGGCGGTTCACGTGCTCCGGGGAGGCCAGGAAGGCCTTGAGCTTGGGCCGGGCACTGAGGCGAGACACATAGGCCGAGAGCAGGGGGAGGGAGTCCAGGCAGCCGGGGGCCAGGACCTGGTGAATCAGCAGCAAGTCCAGCAGGTTGTAGTCGGCAAAGGAGATCTGCAGGGCAGGGGGGGGATCAGCAGGTGGGAGCAGACCAGAGGGTGAGGGGAGGCGGGGCCCAGGGCCTGAGCCGGTCCCTAGGTCTGTCCCGCAATGAACGGCTCACATACTCCCTGCACCTTTTCCCATCGGTAAGTGAGGGTGGCATGGGAGGGGCAGGACAGGGCAGTCGCTCACCTGGTTGCCCACGATGAAGGCCTGGCCCCCCTGGTTCTGGGAGAGCAGGGTCTCAAAGGGCTTCAGGCGCCCTGGCAGCTCCTTCACGTAGTCCTCCTTGCCCGCCTCCTGCCAGAGACACGGCACCGGTCACCCTCCTGACCCCCACACTGCAGCTCGCCCCCTCCTGTTGGCCCCATCTGTGACTCACCACCCTCAGCCCCATGCTCCGCGGCTGACTCCCACCCCAGGCTATGCCGCGTGCTGTCCACTGCAGCAGCCGGCTCCTTCCTTCTCTCCCTGTGACCTCTCAGCAGATTCCTACGGAAGCCCTGGAGGATCCTTCTAGACCTCACATTTGGACACCACCCTGCTTAGACTCCTCCATGGCTCCCTCCTGCCAGCAGGAGCGGGTGTAAGCCCGGGGGTTTACCTTCCGGCCCTGGGCCTACTGCCCCTCCAGCTCCACCTCCTCCCACCCTCTCACGCACAGCCACGCGCGCCCTGCCTCTGTTAAACTAGTCTTGGGTCCCTGAATGTGCTCTGTGTCTGCATATCTGTGTACCTGAAAGTGCCAGCTCCCCTTCCCGGAGCTGGCTGTAGCTCCTCCTCCTCGCCCCCCTGCTCCAGGAAGCCCAGCGGACCACCCCTGGCTCAATGTCTCCTGTCCTTGCACTGTTCGGCTATTGCTGGTTACTGGCCCCCAGCACAGAGCCACACCCTGCCCAGGCCCCCCGGCCTAGGGAGGACTCAGCTAGAGCCACATGAGGGGTGTGGGGTGGAATGAGAGTTCAGGAAGGCCCGTCTTTGCCGCCCGTGCCCACCCCGTGCTCACGTAGTTGGTGTAGATGAGGGTGGCGTATTTGCAGCGGAGGTCCTCCACGCCGTCGTTCACCACGTCCACCAGGGCCGCCTCGCGCTGGTCCTTCCCGTACAGCCCTGGGGGCAGGGAGAGCAGGGAAGGGGTGCAGGAGAGCCCACAGCATGACTGGTCAGCTGACACACATGAGAGCGGATCTACAGACAGGCCATGTGGCTGCCTGGGGGCCCCAGCTAGGCAGGAGGGAGGAGGATGTGGCCGGAGGGAAGGAGCAGTCCTGACCGGGTAGGTGCTCAGAACTCGGTGGGAGGCTGCCTGGCATGGGGCAAGGGCTGCAGGCGACCTGGGCTTGACCTCGGGCAGGCCATCTGACCTCCCTGCCTGCCTCTCCTCCACCCCACAGGGGCGCAGAGCGGGAGTATCCCCCGCCCGGCCGGGACTGGGCCCCCTGCCCCTCAGGACTCACCGAGGGAGCGGCCCAGGTGGCGCAGGATGGCATTGGACTGGTACAGGGTCAGGTCTCCGTCCTGGAACTTGGGGAGCTGCCCGTACAGCTGGGGGTGGCACAGCTCTGTCAGAGGGGCTCCGCTGGCCTGCCCCGCCCCCTACTTTCACCCCCAAGGCCCAGCCCCTGACCCCGCAGGCACAGCACTCACACAGGAGGCCTTGAGGGTGCCCTGCAGCCAGGTATCCTTGGTTACCACCTCCTCCTTCCAGCTCTGGCCCTGGTCAGCCAGCAGCATGCGCGTGGCCTCGCAGCGCCCTGGGGAGGGGAGATGGGTCGTGGGCTGCAGAGATGCAGACCCCAACCTCAGTGCCGCGGGGAGGGGCCTGCTCCCTGGGGAGGGGACAGGCCACAGGCGGTCGGATTCTTCAATGAGGGAGCTCAGGGACACGGACAAGGAGGCCCGGGCTAGTAGCCCCTGAAGAAGGATCAGCGGGGTTTGGGGGTGGGGGGGGCAGGTGGGTGAGAGGCCACAGGCTGCCGCCCCAACCCCCCCCTCCCTCCCCCCAGCCACAGGCCCCTACCTCGAACAGGGAAGTAGACGATGGTGTAGGGCGCCACTGGAGGGGCAGAGAAGTTTGTTAGCGTCCTCGAGGGGGTCCTGTGCGGGGCAGTGCACCCACCCGTCCTCCCCGGAGTCCCACCCCTGGCTCTGGGGGCTCCGGGCCT